AAAGAGTGCGAAACTTGCGCAAAAGCTGCTCCTTCGCCAGTCAAATGCACACTTCAGTCATGGCCCGTGGCTACCCGACCATGGTCTCGCATCCACGCCGACTACGCAGTCTCCGTAGAAGGGTTCAACTTCCTGGTCATCGTTGACGCCTACAGCAAGTGGCCTGAAATTTTCAAAACCACTGCCACCACATCATCAAGGACCATCGAGCTTTTCTCTGAGGCGTTCGCTCGTAACGGCCTACCGGACACGCTGATCATCGATAACGGAGTGCAGTTCACGTCGGACGAGTTCAAGAATTTCTGCGCTCACAGCGGCATCGAACACATTCGCTCGGCCCCGTACCACCCTCAGTCTAACGGCCAGGCCGAAAAATTCGTCCACCTTCTCAAGACGGGGCTGGAGAGAGCCCAAGGAAACGTCGATCAGAAACTGCGCGAGTTTCTTACTTGCAACCGCCGCACTCCATCGTACTCGCTTGGCGGAAAGTCCCCATCGGAACTTATGAACGGAAGACCGATGAAAACGAGACTCGATTTGTGCAAGTCAAAGCCATCACCATCTCAGCAACGGGACGAGCAGATGGAGGCCCGTTTCAACATTTCTCACGGCGCCAAGTGGAAGGAGTTTACCGTTGGCTCCCCCGTTTATTACAAACGCAACCGATCAAACATCGACTGGGAGTGGATTCCGGCCACCATCCTGAGCCGTTCCGGAGCCGTGAACTATGCAATTGAGTCCGAGGCAGGGAAAGTATTCCCAAATGTACACGCAAATCAACTGAAATCACGCAAAACAAAGAACGAGTTCCTGGAGGCTTTTAACCTGACCGACGTCACTGACACTGAAGTCGAGCCGTTCATCACGCCGCAAGCAGAGGCTCACGAACAAAATCAAGAAGACGAGAACCAAGACCTAGAGACAACAGAAGAAATCTTTGAGGACGCTGAAGATTTTCAAGAAGTCGAGCAACCCGCACCCCTGCGCCGCACAACAAGGGTCAATGCAGGAATTCCGCCTGCTCGCTTCGGAGGGAAGGATTAAACTTAGCGGGGAGGAATGTGGTGACCCCGCTTACGCATTGCCCCCACTAATACGATACGTTGGTGGCGACCCCCCCCCCCTGACGTCAGTCGCACGGATACCTACCGTTGGTAACGCGGAGAATAAAAACATTGTCACCTAAGTAAATCTAATTGTAAGTCTCGTTCGAGCTTCCGATAAATAAACATCGTTAATTAGAAAATCCTCGCCTCCCGTTCACTGAGTGATTCACAACAGCCTACGGGATTCTTCAATTACTTTTGTAGAGAAGATAGTTTTGTAGTGAAGATATTTTTGTAGAGATGCAAAAAAGAAGAGTAACAAAATATATTCGGTCGTTGGAGGTTATACTTGGTGCTTTTTTACCTTTTTTTATTTGACTAACATGAGGATATTGTTATGCCGAAATACTATTGTCAAACAAATGACACAGTAAAAAATCATGTGTTCATATGTTACAATTTTCTTTTGTGTTACCAAGTCCTTTTAACATCAATAAAAATTCTTCAAATATTTATAAAAACTTCACGAAATAATCAAATTTACTAAAATCAAATGTATCTGCGACACATAATGCAAGTAAAAAAATTAATATAATGTATTGATATAACATGCAAAATAATTGTTTATAAATTTAAAGTAGTATAAATTTATAGTGTGAATTAATTAACCTTTCTAATATGTCTACAAGTAACACATGATAAATTTTATTTTAATGTAAAATTTAGAGTCGACTTTCTAGAACGCGTAAAAAATATTAAAATTAACATTTTATTTGTTACTACGTACACAAATGTATGTTTCATAAAGCATTAATATTTATATATCTCTTCTTCCAGATATATTTATATAATTGCAGATTGCACGTTCCTATAAGATTTTTTCATACATTTTCATAAATGTTTTCCTATTACGTTAAGAAGTCTTCAATTCAAGCCAACAAACTTCAAGTTTTGTTTAATTAATCGGCGTTTGTTTAATAGTCCTTAATTATGGTTTTCTTATCCGAATAGAAAACCATTTATGAAATCGTATGATAAAATTTTGATGAAATGTGTAATCTGCAATTATATGAATATATGTATAAATATAGATCTTTTACTAAGTTAATTATTTTAGCAATTACTGTTTTATAGTATTTCCGCTAAACAATATAATATAGCAAATTATCTTAGCAGTATATTTGTCAAATTAAATTTTGAAACAATTGTCCAATATTTGAAAAATATTTTAGAAATGGTTTATATTTAGTTGTATTACTTTTTAAATATCAGAAATATAAAGGCGCATATATGATGTGTTTGGCGTGAAGTACGTATTGGAAACAGTCTATAGAATTCACAAATAAATTATTAGTCTACCTACATCCAGCTCAAACCACATGGCTTTGATATATCATATTTTTTGCTAACTTTTTATCCTATTTAATAGTATTTCAGTAATAGTCGTATATGGAAAGACTTATAAGTGTTAATTTAATTATAAATTAGTGCATACACAGAGAAAACGATTTCTTTGGATTTAATAAATTTTGTTGTATCCAAACAAATTTGATATTTGAAATGGTCGAAACAAATCAATGTTTGAATTAATAAGTACGATTGTTTGAATTTGAAATAATATATATCTTTGGCAGAAATAAAATATTTGTTTGAAACAAAAGGAATATTCTCTTTAATCTAAACGATATTATTGTTTCATTCAAACAACATTATCGTTTGATAGAAAATATGTGAAACAAATGTATATGCAGAAACAAATACATCTTTCTCCCTCTACATTAGAATTTTCCCTTCATTAAAAAAAGAAAGATAAACACTGAATTAGTACACTAAGTTTAGCCATAACAAAAAATAGACCATTAAACGATTAAACTGCGTCTGCTGATGCGGTCGCTTGTATATCTATGTAGTTGCCGCGATTTTACTTCCGAGTTCGGCGGCCATCTAGTGGCAGCACCAAACTTTATAAGCGCCTGGCCAAATAATATAATTATTTAATTGAAAGATATTACTTCAAATAATAGTGTTTTTTCTATCAAATAATACAGGTTGTTTGAATAAAACAACAAAATTTTTATTCAAAACATATAATGTTTCGTATAAGCATATATTGTTTTAATGAAACAAATTTCAACCAAATAAATAGGAATACTAAATCCAAAGAAACCTTTCTCTCTGTGTATTAAAAATAGCGTTTATATAATGCTTGTGGTTCTGTCATTCTGACTGTTTCAAACGGATAACAATAACAGGAAGATGACTTAGATGACTTAGATGTTCATAAATCGCTTAGGGCTGTGTATAATTTGTTTAATTTATAAGCTACTTTTGTTTCATTGCTTTTTAGACTGCTGTTGGGTTTCGTAGGAGAGGGTGTGGTAAAGAGAACAACGCCCGAATCCTGGTACGCTTTCTTTATTGTGTGCTCACTACTGAGACGGGGAAAATATCCCTCAGATCGCACAGAGCTCGCGTACGACGTGCTGCCCGAGATGATGGGTGCACGCACACTACTGCCTCCCTCGCGCGCGTCGCGCCCCCTGCC